TTCACTATACTTGTGTATCGTGCTTAGACCCATGACGCCCACCCATGATTCCCCCTTGAAGACACTCCGTTTGTCTTTTGATCATTTCTTCCTTCCTTGAAGGCGCCCCCCGTTATCTTATATCATTCCTTCCTTGAAAACACTCCTGTTGTCTTTCTATCATTCCTTTCCTTGAAAACACTCCTGTTGTCTTTCTATCATTCCTCCCTTGAAGACACTCCCATTGTCTTTCTATCATTCCTTTCTTCCTTGAAGACACACCCGTTGTGTATCATTCCTTCATTGGAGACTCTCCCATTGTCTTTCTATCATTCCTTCCCTTGAAGACACACCGGTTGTGTATCATTCCTCCCTTGAAGACACTCCCATTGTCTTTCTATCATTCCTTCCCTTGAAGACACACCCGTTGTGCATCATTCCTCACTTGAAGACACCCCCGTTGTCTTTCTAATCATTCCCTCCTTCCTTGAAGGCACTCCCATTGTCTTTTCTATCATTCCTCCCTTGAAGACACCCCCGTTGTCTTTCTATCATCCCTCCCTTGAAGACACTCCCATTGTCTTTCTATCATTCCTCCTTGAAGACACTCCCATTGTCTTTCTATCATTCCTTCCTTGAAGACACACCCGTTGTGTAACTATCATTTCTTCCTTCCTTGAAGACACTCCCATTGTATTTCTATCATTCCTCCCTTGAAGACACTCCCATTGTCTTTCTATCATTCCTCCCTTGAAGACACCCCCATTGTCTTTCTATCATTCCTCCCTTGAAGACACCCCCGTTGTCTTTCTATCATTCCTCCCTTGGAGACACCCCCGTTGTCTTTCTATCATTCCTCCCTTTGAGACACCCCCGTTGTCTTTCTATCATTCCTCCCTTGGAGACACCCCCGTTGTCTTTCTATCATTCCTCCCTTTGAGACACCCCCGTTGTCTTTCTATCATTCCTCCCTTGGAGACACCCCCGTTGTCTTTCTATCATTCCTCCCTTGGAGACACCCCCGTTGTCTTTCTATCATTCCTCCCTTTGAGACACCCCCGTTGTCTTTCTATCATTCCTCCCTTTGAGACACCCCCCGTTGTCTTTCTATCATTCCTCCCTTGGAGACACCCCCGTTGTCTTTCTATCGTTCCTCCCTTGGAGACACCCCCCGTTGTCTTTCTATCATTCCTCCCTTGAAGACACCCCCCATTGACTTTCTATCATTCCTCCCTTGGAGACACTCCCGTTGTCTTTCTATCATTCCTCCCTTGAAGACACCCCCATTGTCTTTCTATCATTCCTCCCTTGGAGACACTCCCATTGTCTTTCTATCATTCCTCCCTTGAAGACACCCCCATTGACTTTCTATCATTCCTCCCTTGGAGACACTCCCGTTGTCTTTCTATCATTCCTCCCTTGGAGACACTTCCCGGTTGTCTTTCTGTCATTCCTCCCTTGAAGACACCCCCATTGACTTTCTATCATTCCTCCCTTGAAGACACCCCCGTTGTCTTTCTATCATTCCTCCCTTGGAGACACCCCCGTTGTCTTTTCTATCATTCTCCCTTTGAGACACCCCCGTTGTCTTTCTATCATTCCTCCCTTGGAGACACCCCCGTTGTCTTTCTATCATTCCTCCCTTGGAGACACCCCCGTTGTCTTTCTATCATTCCTCCCTTGGAGACACCCCCCGTTGTCTTTCTATCATTCCTCCCTTGGAGACACCCCCGTTGTCTTTCTATCATTCCTCCCTTGAAGACACCCCCATTGTCTTTCTATCATTCCTCCCTTGGAGACACTCCCATTGTCTTTCTATCATTCCTCCCTTGGAGACACTCCCGTTGTCTTTCTGTCATTCCTCCCTTGAAGACACCCCCGTTGTCTTTCTATCATTCCTCCCCTTGGAGACACCCCCGTTGTCTTTCTATCATTCCTCCCTTGGAGACACCCCCGTTGTCTTTCTATCATTCCTCCCTTGAAGACACCCCCATTGTCTTTCTATCATTCCTCCCTTGGAGACACTCCCATTGTCTTTCTATCATTCCTCCCTTGGAGACACTCCCGTTGTCTTTCTGTCATTCCTCCCTTTAAGACACCCCCGTTGTCTTTCTATCATTGATTTCATCCTCGACCGTACAATAGTTGTAATAGTATTGTTTTCGAACGCAATGAATGGTAGATAGTCTTCATATTGCGTGAATATGACATCACGCCACTGTCAGCAAATATTCCAGCAATATCGTATTGTACCTCAAACACAGGATTACACTTTAATTTGTACCCTGGGAACATAAACCCAGGTCCTCTGAGAGACAATCGAAGCTTTAAACACTAGGCTCTTTCACCTGGCGATCTTGACAACATACAGTTCAATAATCTTTTTTTGCTTACATGTTACCATCCAGTGATAGAGATATAAATACGATGTTTAGTAAATGAATGGGAAAAAAGTAACTATAAATGCATACAAAATGCTTGTAAAATATGCATGAAAGATAAAAAAACACCTCTGATATAAATTATTGCACATAGGATGCTTGTTAATGAGACACCTGCAGGCACGCAGTCTTCCATACAACCACATGTTTAATTATGAACAAATAAGCGCAAATTGTACATAAATATAGGTAAGGGGTATATCTATAATTTAAATTCAAACACATCTACTTCAGTTCGGTACAAAATAATTATCCCAGTTCATAATCTCTCTCAGAAAATGTTCCAAAAACAAAAGTTGCTTTGCATTTTACACTCAAACCGGGAAGGAAGCGGCGTAGAAAGGTAACAAAAACTGAAACGTTAATTTCAATTATATAACAATGTGGTATTAACTGCTGTGCTAACTTTATAAATAAATAAAAGCATATGAATAAACTCAGATCTCCATCTTAATTATAGACACACATGTTTTGATGGCGGCTAACAATATACAAAGAAGAACATGGTTATTTCATGGTGATATATTTGATACGGGTGTCTTAGTTTGATAACGTTTGTAATGTTTTAGTCAAATCCGAATTTTCAAGGGTATACTTTCTTTATTTCAAAATAAATCAATTGAAAAAGGTTTAAAACGTTTTGTCATAATATATATTTTAATATTCCACAAGAAATGTCCAGACTTTCTCATGTATCGCCATTAAAGGCAAGCGGAAAGTCGAAATGAAATTAAAACGAACAAATGTTTAGTTCACCCTCTGGTCTCTTGTGATGAGAATATCTTTAGCTACTGTTGTCATTTTGAGCCTGTTAACACCTGATAAAATATGTGTATTTCTCCACAAAGTCAGCGCTCTTAAAAGAAAACTTTGCGAACTTTCATCGAGAAGTTTCCCGCCCTATCACACATTTAGCTAGCATGATGTCTGTCCAGTGATTTTAGATGGCCGTGAACTGACCATTCGAGTGCCTGACAAAGTCTCACGCGCTATCTGGGTACACGCAGTTGTTGACTTGCGTCCGGCGAAGTTTCCGTAAACAAATAGGAAATTCATGTTTTCCTCAAATTGTAAAATAAACCTCTGAACTTTTAAGTTTAATTTGTGGAGCACTGGCTCGTACGAACGTGCACTAAGCAGTATTATTCACTTTGTGACCGAAGACCGCTCTTTTCTTGCGTTTGTTTCACGTGCCGAATTTGAAAATAGTGAAGGTGGGACGGGTGCGCGAAGACAACACCGAGGCCCTTTTAAGGTTGTCAATATTTTAGAAGTTTTCAACGTAACTTAATCCAGTTAACAAAATGAATATTTCTTCAAAATTCTGTTTTTCAACAAACTTAAAATATATTATGCTCATGTTAATTTCCAGAGACTATTATCGCAGACATTGGAATTATTAAGGAAGTGTTGTGATAATAAAGTGAATTTTCGTTATCCTCAAATGGTCCCCATGTTATGCATGGCCGTTTGACACCGGAGTTAGCACTTCAAAACAACGCCAAGTTCTATGGTTCATGTGAACCGCTTCATACGGCCTCGACTTTTCCATGGACGTGGATTTGAATAAAGTTTCTCTCACAAAGGATATATACGGATTAAATAACCATCGTTTTAAGGTAGGAACTGTGATTTTATATCATTATAAAACCGTCAATACGACATTAAAGATGCGTTATTTCCAATTTTGTAGCCAAACAAGTTAGTTTTTCTAAGAAAATGCTTATTTCAAACACGTACGATTTGAAATTTGAAAAAAATGAGTTTAAGTACTTTATTAATTATTTTATCATATTTGCCTGTGTATGTAAGTGTGTATCTTGTATTAATATATAAATGCTATAGCAACGATTACAAACTCATACGTTTCAAAATTTAAATCAAAGTTTAAAAAGAGATGGAAATTAAAAGCTGTGATAAGAATCTACTTTACGTTTGATTTTGTGTTGTTGGTTAAAATAATAGTTACCAATACTAAAGAAAATATTACATTCTAAAAAAGGTCATTTGAGGTCACCCTGTCACATCAAGGCCCCGAATTATACGGCTCCAGTCGTCATATCAGAATTAATTCCAGGAATTATAATGCTTGCACGTTAGAGAAACATGTCATATACAACGTAATAATCTTAATAGGTGCAGTTTCGTCACCCAATCCTTTTGTTTTGAAATCTCCGAGTCCACCTTAAGTCAGAGGTAATCAAGGCGTCTGAGAGACAGGGTCTTATGACGGTAAGAGCTGCACTTTGAAGTTAGAATTTTTATTCAACATATTTGTCAACATTTTCATTGCAGTTTAAAACATCCTTTACCGTCTATACTATATTCTGAAGCCTTTAACCATGTATAAAAATCAACATTTTTTTATGTTATGTCGTATGTTATAGCGTTACAGCGTTACGGATCTATTTTTTTGGTCATGTCGTTCATTTAGCGACAAGGTGGGAAATCTATTAATACCGACTCTATATGTTCTTTACTCCGTGCCATGCGTTAAAAGAATTTCACAGCTTAGACATTAACTGAACCACGTTGCGAGGATAAACGGGCTGATTTATTTTAGAACCTTTACTGATTTGAGAAGAACGTTTCTCAAAGTGCTAAAGGTCTTGGATATGGACTGACTGGTGCTTTAATGCTCCATCGGGACTCTCCTGACGGATCAGGTGAGTGAGTGAGTTGGTTTCACGCCGACTTGAACAGCGGTTTCAGGTTCATGAGAGAGAGAGAGAGAGAGAGAGAGGGAGAGAGAGAGAGAGAGAGAGAGAGAGTGAGAGAGAGAGAGAGAAAGAGAGAGAGACGGGGGGGGGGGGGGGGGGGGGGGGTGGATCAGCAATGCCATGCAACTACCCTTGGGATCACTCCCCACAATCCCGACGCCGACTTGAGCAGCGTTTGCAGGTTCATGAGAGAGAGAGAGAGAGAGAGAAGAGAGAGAGAGAGAGAGAGAGAGAGAGAAATCAGCAATGCCATGCAACTACCTTGGGGATCACTGCCCACAATTCTCGATTTGGGTGAGAAAAATGCTTTAATGTATAACTAATACGTTAGTTCACACTGCCTGTAACAACATTCCATCAACAAAACAACAAACAAAGATAAAACTTCCTACATTACACCCATGTGGCAAAACAAACGTGGGTCTTTGGCGCGATGAGCGAAAGCTTCAACCACTGGACCACCCTAAACTCCTTAATAAAATACTGATAATGTAGCAATTATATTTAATGATAATAGGAAATATTTTATATTTATACATATCATATTTAGGAAATATATCTTTGTTATTTCAGATGCCCAAGGTAAAGACTGAGAAATATCTTGGCATATTCCCAACAGTGTGATCAAAATCGATGGACATAAGTATCAATCACCAATCACTAATTGTGTGTGGTCTCAGTACTTACACAGGATCGCGCGAAACTGTACACGCTTTAAAAACCTCCGCACGTTGAGATGTCCCTACTACCAGCGTGACCAGAGTCCAGTAGTCAGGATGACCAGGGAAGAATTTTCCCACAGTTCCTCAGACACTCAGGCAAACCTGGAACTCTCAGAGATAGCTCACCTTACCGAAAATGGGTTCCCTGGATGTGGCAATACCCCTACTCCGGTACCGCCAGGTCCCCGCCATCCAAGCGTCCCCCTCCCGTGTTCACGATATCGATACTCGCGTAAGTATACTGTCTTCTTAACACACGTGCATACAGGTCGCCTGCGAAGATCCGGGGTAGAATAGATCTTCAGCAACCCTTGCTTGTCGTTAGAGGCGACTAACGGGATCGGGTGGTCATACTCGCTGACTTGGCTGACGCATGTCATCGTAGATCGATGTTCATGATGTAATTCTCTGGATTGTATGGAAGCCCTTGATCATTGGAGCACAGCTCGGCGACGCAACGCAACAATGTCCCTTCTAAGATTCAATAAAATTTGGTAGTGTCAGTTGCTAAAAACATATCACCAAATGAATTAAGTTCATATTCTTGTTAATATATGTGGTAGTATGTTTCTAGAAGGGGAGAGCCCCGTGATGATCGGGATTAAAATTGGTATTCAGCAACCCATGCCTGTCGCAAAAAGCGACTAAGGAGATCGGGTATCAGGCTCGCTGACTTGGTTGATGCATTACATCGTATCCCAATTGTGTATTTCGATGCTACTGATGTCAATCATTGGATTGTCTGGACCATACTTAATTATTTACAGAACTTCGTCATTAGTCAACAACAAACAAGCAAGCAAACAATACAATTAACAAAGACAAAAAATGTGTTGACTATTGGTTTGCAAACTCTCCTTCATGTATAGCTTATGTGTGAACGATCGATAGTTTATGTGTATTAATGTTTATACACGATCAATCAGGTATTGCTTAAATTAAATCTATTCGAGTGAATCCCGAACGCCCCAACAACCTATAACATGCACTTTCTTCAAGAAGATTTAGATCGTTGTTGGGGAACAATGCCTACAAACATGAATATTTTATTCAGCCACAGGTTCGTCATTGTTCGGCTGTCTCGTCAGTCGATAACAACTCGTCGAAGTATTTATAGATGTTCTTCTTGGTGCATGTTCGTGTACGATGACATTCCATTCTTATTTAGAACTCAGAGCTAGACACGTACAGAGCATTTAGAGCTTGAAGCTCAAAAATACTTTTAAAATAACTGAAAAATATTTGTAATACAATCTTAAGACAGGGTCCACTTGCACAAAACGTTGTTTATATAGACTTACAATAGTCGTAGCTACAACCCCTTTGTGCAGGTGGACCCATGCAGGTATGTTACGGTTTAATGCCTACAAGCAAATGACGAAATAACTCTCGGTGTATATGGCCATTATATGCATATACTACTCAAAAGAAGTTAAGGACCATCCGATTCTTTCATATTACAATAGTCAATCTGTCATGGAATGACACCCGATTCTTTCGTATTACTATACAGATTAGTGAGTGAGTGAGTGAGTGAGTATGGTTTTACGCCGCTTTTAGCAATATTCCAGCAATATCACGGCGGGGGACACCAGAAATGGGCTTCACACATTGTACCCATGTCGGGAATCGAACCCGGGTCCTCGGCGTGACGAGCGAACGCTTTAACCACTAGGCTACCCGACCGCCCCACTATACAGATTAACTATAGTAAATTTAATGTGAAAGAATTGGGTGATCCTTAACTTCTTTTGAGCTGTGCGATTTGGTGAGGAGGGGGAGGAAGAAGAAGATGATGACTATGATTTTGTATAAATATAAAGATTATATCACTACAGTGCGTTATAACGATTTCGCTCGATTAAACATATTTAATTTAATAGTTGATCTTGTATTGAAAATATTTAACGGTATTTAATTATGTGGTTATTATGTACATGTGTATTGTCATTTATTAGTAATAAAACATATAGTGAAACAATAACAACATCCTGTAAAAAAAAGACGATATTAGCCGGAAGAATAGGAAACATGAAGAAAAATGTCTGTGTCGTTTTGTCGAGCGTTTTGTAAAGAATGACACATTACGTGACTTGAAGCCAGGTTTAGCATTCTCTATTAAGAGACTTTTTGCAAAAGAGGATGTGTGAAAATACCTCTTTTTGGTCCACTGGTCCAATGACGCATTTACAGACAAGGAACAGTTAAAAATATGTTGTGAAGTTTAACTGACATTGTCATATGACTTAATTTTTATCTTCGTTTTCTTGCAAGTTCGAGGGTTAGGGTGACCAAGTCGTCTCAGGCGCCGCAATTCGCTGCGGAGAATTGCCTCCCTTGGGTTTGAATCCCTGTTCACCCTGATTATGTTTCTAGATTTGTCAGCACCATACTGATATCAAGTCGATTTTCAAACAACAATCGTGTTCTGCCGAAATATGGTTTCAAGGAAATAAACTGCTATCCATTCAATCTTTGAAAGTGGATATCTAGAAATGATAAACAAAAACAGATATACAATATATAAAACTTTCTATTTGTCACATGTTTGTTAAAATGATGGCCACGGGCGAGTCAGTCGGAATTTACAGAGCAGAGTTGCGTCCCTTGATAGACGGTTTGAATCCCGTTTTGCCTCGTTAATGATCTAGCTGTGTCGAGACCGCCCTCGTGGTCTAGTGGTAGAGCGTCCGCCGCGTCATACCAAAAAACGTTTAAAGATGGTACTGTTTTTTCCCCTGCCTCGGTATTAAGGGGCTAATACAAGAACTGTCGGCTCGAAGTTAGTATATTGTGTCTGAGTGGGGTATTCATGTTAAACTGCGGCATGGTATCTCAGTGGGCTAGCACTATGAAATCGGCACTATTTCGGACTAGCAAACACACACACGCACGCACGCACGCACGCACGCACGCACGCACACACACACACACACACACACACACACACAAGCCCGCTAGTCGCTATTTAAGTGCAATAATCTTGGACGCGACGTGAGACCCCATTTCACCCCACCTCCAGCTTTGTCAGCACCATTCCCGTGCTCGTAAGTTTCACCAAAGTGGTAAACGCCAGAGGCATTGGCTAAGACCAATTTGGGTTTTCCTCCAGCTATAGGTCACAATGACCTGTACATATCTTGTTCATATGTCCCCGGGTTGTCAGGCTGTGGAGCGGCCAATAGCATGTCTTCGTGCCCCGGTGGCCTGGATCGTTGCGATGTATAGCTCAAATCGTGTTGGCTGCTGCGTTAGGTAACATTCAGACACTATCTTGATGAATAGTAGCATATCTTTCTATCATTAGTGAGTGAGCATTGTTTTGTGCCACTTTTAGCAATATACCAGCAATTTCACGGCGGGGGACAGCGGAAATGGCTTCACACATTGTACCCATGTCGGGAATCGAACCCGGGTTCTCGGCTTGAAGAACGAACGCTTTAACCACTAGGCTACCCCACAGCCCCTCTTTGTATTAAAATCAGCTGACTTAATTTGAAGTTGACAATGCCAAGCTAACGAATGTTAAAGGAAATGGCATTGTTTTGTTGGTGTCAAGCATTAATTTAAAGCCACACACACATACACCAATGCCAAAGGTATTACCTTTAATATATTCACTTGAGTAGACAAATGGGATCGGGGGTCAGGCTCGGTGGCTTGGTTGGTGCATATTATCATATCTCAATTGCGTGGATCGAGGCTCATGATGTCAATCACTGGATTATTTGGTCCAGACTCTATTATTAACAGACCGCTGTCGCACAGATTGAATATTGAAGAGTGCGGTGTTAAAAAACAACAAAGCGTAGCTCTGACTCGAAAAAGGTATCTACGGAAGCGGTAGTAAAATCTCCGTTAAGAGTCGTGTTTGACAACCGTGTACACTCATTTCCAAGATGGCCTCAAATTGGGTGATTACAATGTGTGATCACACACATATATATCGACGTGACTTACAATTGTTACGAAGAACTTGTAACTTGATTATTTATAAGAGTAATAACACGTCTGAAATAGTTTGACTATGTTTTCGATTTTAAATCACTGCTCTGTTTTTGTTGTTGATTGTGTGTGTGTGTGTGTGTGTGTGTGTGTGTGTGTGTGTGTGTGTGTGTTATTAATTATTGTTTTACGCCACACACTGCAATATTCCAGCTATATGACGACAGTCCCACATCTCACGAGGTCTTAAGAGGCGAGAAAATGGATCAGGCCGGATTATTTGGGTGATTTGGCATCGTATCGTTGGTCATACTATCAACCACTGGTTTCTCATTTAAGCGCAAGTAAATAATCAAGTCGTGTTAGTAAATAACCGGGCACGTGCCTGAAACCTGCTAAACATTTACGTGTAAGACTGAAAGCCACGTTCTAGGTATGTTGATTGCAGATTAGAACCCACGGTTGCGCTGAGCACAAGCTCCCAACAGCGATACCTCGTTCCCGGAGTTTACGTTAAAGGGAGGTGACGGTGTATTCGTCCTTTTCATTGGTCAGCAAGGAGTAGATAGTGCACGTATTCCAGGTGAAATATCGGGCAACATTCATATAAATTGACAATTCATTTCAATAAAAAGAAATAATGAACCCCTAAATGTAATTATCATACTCTTTAAAATGTCTGATGGAGAAATAGAATCTGTTGATTCTACTTTGTGAATAAACATATTCGAGTGATTTCACTGACTTAAGCCATGTTATGGTTGATGTATAATATCTTTATTCTTTTGCATTATGACCAATAGTTGCGCCAGTTTTATGTTTAAAATTCATGTTCAGAATAACCAGTGAATTCCTGGTTCAGGGTCAACTGCAGTATCAACAGCATGACGTCACCGTAATGGTTTTAATGTTTCTGTTACAAACAACAGAGACTGTCAACTTTCCAAATTATTCACTATAAACTATGTGACTGCTATAACGTACGTCTCGGTAGCTGCTGTGGCCAGTGATAGTGATGGTCTTCATGCCTTATGGTTTTCATTTGATAGTGAGAATATTCACATGCAATAAAATATTTTTAAAAAAACCTTTAATACCAGTGTCATGTATGCCATCAGTATTGTATTCTTGGCAAAGTGACATGTGGAACTGAGGTCAACCGAGTGGGTAACCAGGTGTCACGTTAGAACTGGGAGAGTTTATTTTAAGTCTAAGCTTTTGGGATAACAGAGTGCTTATCATTTGGCGCTTCAGTTTCTTCGACCGTGATGTCATATTATTTATGTCTAATGAGCAATTTGACGTCAATATAGTGATTACATTCCACCACAACACCACAATTGTTATTATTATGTACAGATTAAAATAAGAAATGCAGCAAAGAGGGTTTAGGTGATCCTGGCACAGTCAGGCTGTTTAGGCTCATCATCAGGGCCCTTGCCCCCTCTACACGCAGCCCAGACAGAGAATGGGACTTCTCCCAGGAAGCGCTGCCTAGTCAAACCCACCTAGAATTATTCGGAGAATGTGAAGATTTCCCAACACTGCAGCCTTCTGCATTACCCAGATTGTCAGAAGGGCTGTATTCCTGGTAGCAAGCCCGGTGTCAGTCAACAGATTGGGAGGTACCAAATCTAAGGCACCGAGAACAATGGGGAGTCGGACAACTTGGTACTTTTCGAAAGCGAGCTCTGCATATTTGCCATGTTTTTCCTCAATCTTGTCAAACACATTAGTGTCAAAGGGAAAGAAAATTCAATAATATTAATGATGTCATTTGATTTATCAAAAAGGACAAGATCAGGTTTGTTGGCCTGGATACGTCTGATGATGTGTACGGTCCTATTCCAAAGAATTTTGTATTTATCATTTTCCACGACGCCCTCTACATATTCTGGGTCGGACCATGGGTGGACCTCTGTGTCAAAACCACAAGCATGGCGAAGACGACAATAAAATGATCGAGCCACTCCATCATGTCGCTTAAGATACTGTGTTTGTGCCAAAGCTGGGCATCCACTGACAATGTGTTGGACAGTCTCATTAAATTCATTTCATAATCTACATATTATTATTATGTACAGATTAAAATAAAAAATGCAGCAACGAAGGTTTGGGTAATCCTGGCACAGTCAGGCTGGTTAGGCTCATCATCAGCTCAGGGCCCTTGCCCCCTCTCCACGCAGCCCAGACAGCGAATGGGACTTCTCCCAGGAAGCGCTGCCTAGTCAAACCCACCAAGAACGTTTCGGAGAATGTGAAGACTCCCCAACACTGCAGCCTTCTGCATTACCCAGATTGTCAGAAGGGCTGTATTCCTGGTAGCAAACCCGGGTACACTCCCGATGTCAGTAAACAGATTGGGAGGTACAAAACCGAAGGCACCGAGAACAATGGGGTGTCGGACAACTTGGTACTTGGGATGCAAGCGTGACATTTCGAAAGCGAGGTCCACATATTTGCCATGTTTGTCCTCAATCTTGTCAATCACATTAGTGTCAAAGGGGACAGAAAATTCAATGATATTAATGATTTCATTGGATTTATCAAAAAGGACAAGATCAGGTTTGTTGGCCTGGATACGTCTGATGATGTGTACGGCCCTATTCCAAAGAATTTTGTATTTATCATTTTCCACGACGCCCTCTACATATTCCGGGTCGTAACATGGCTGGACCTCTGTGTCAAAACCACAGGCATGGCGAAAACGGTAATAAAATGATCGAGCTACACCATCATGTCGTTTAAGATACTGTGTTTGTGCTAAGCTGGGCATCCACTGACAATGTGTTGGACAGTCTCAATAAATTCATTACATAATCTACATTTCATATTTACATTTTGATGCAAAATCACACATTGACGGATTCGAGTTGGAAGTGACTGGTCCTGAACAGCAAACAGAAAGCCTCCTGTTTCACTTATCAGGCCAGACGACTTCATCCAAGCAATGGACACTGCAGGATTGCTGATCTCAACACACTGCACATAAACTCGATGCAGTGGTCGTTCAGATAGCCTCTCCTTTAGAGACTGAGTCTGGGCCGACTTGATATGGCACTTCGCTTGGTTGACAGTCATTTCTGTACCGTCCAGCAGTACAGAACTATCAACATGATCTATTGTCTGACATGATTCTTCGTGTGAGGGTGTCAATACCCTGAATTTTTTTGTTTCGTCCAATCAACAACGCCAAAAGAATACGAAAGGACGGGCAGCGCATACGTATTTGTGGCTTTGACTTTATTGCGAGCGTTCAGTTCTGAACTCCAGAGCGGAGGTCGGGTAGCCTAGTGATTAAAGCGTTCGCTCGTCACGCCGAAGACCCGGGTTCGATTCCCGACATGGGTACAATGTGTTCTCTGCCCAAAGTTTGCCCTTGATATGGGCATTCTGGAGTTTGTCCCTAATCTGCATCCCTAAGTACGTATAGGCCTGATCTTCCACAAGATGGTCAATAACTCCTCCTCCAAGTAAACTGACTGATCCTCCCTCTTCTACCTTGCCATATAAACACTACTACTACTATTTCTACCACTAAGTTGTTTTTCAATTTAATTTCAATTCACTAAAACGTTTAATTCGAACCTCCATAGAGCTTCTAGACATAGAATATTTAATCCTCCATGCATACACATTGAGTAGTGATATTTCTTACATTGCGAGGCCTGTGTGATGCAAAAACATATGGCTGTTTAAATCTTATTATTTTTAACAAAATAGCAGATTTTACATGAAATGGAACTGACATTTCCATTATGGTAAGAAGGACACCCAGTACCTGCCCAGGATGTCAGTCGTTGAGTTTCTTCTTGAAATCCCCATCTATACTTGGCTTGAGGCATCTGAACATGTACAACGATATGACATCATTGTATGTTCAGGGTTCGTGATATTGTTTCTGTAAGGTATAAAACTTTCTATTTCAAGCTGCAAACACATTCTTACCTTGAACTTCTTGAGTAATCATTTATATAAGACTATCTAAATTACAAATTCTCTATAGACGGGACCCCGTGAATCCGGACACCCAACATTACGGACAATAGAGTTTGAAAATATATGTCACACGAACGACGTAGCCATGGTTTCTATGACCTGGAATTCCAATTTACATAGTTCCTCATCTGCGTATAACTAAAGACATACGAGCTAACATGAAATATTATACACTTATCACTCGGTGAAGCTCTTACGATTTACAAACGCGTATTTATTATTTGGGATTAAAAAGTACTTGATTAGAGATTCATGTTTCTATTTTGCAGTGTCTACAACAGAAACGAGGACCTTCCGATCCCGGCATTCCCGGTGTTGCGTCGGCACGGCCGCCATTTTGTTGTCCCTTCTGACTGTTGGCGTATTTCTTGGAATCATGATACATTTCACAGGTATCCATGGCATCAGAATATTTCACGTGTCATGAACTTCCTCTTTGAAACTTTGTTTTCAAAAATATAACTAAGGCTAAAAATATTCTGGTTTAACATAATTGTGGCAATACGAAACTGTAATATGAAAAAAATCAGTGCCTGAAATTAATCATGGTTAGCGTGAAAAATGAGAATCAAGGTTTACAATGTCATTGTGGGCGTCTAAATACAATTTCTGTCCCTCTGGGAGTCCTAAGTCCTAGGAAATGACGTAAAAAAGCCGCCTGGTATTCATAGATTGTAACAAAATGTATTCATGTGCGCAAATCTTTATTTCAGTGGTAGATATCCTGTGGAATGATGACGGTGGCGTATCTAAGCAACCTGTTCCGAGAGCGGAGACTAAACTGGGGAATGCTGGTAAATATTATCATTATTGGTATTACCTATATCATGAACACCACCGCATCATCACCATCATCATCACCACCACCACCACCATCATCATCATCATCATCATCATCATCATCATCGTCATGACACTACTGCCATCTACATCCTCCTCTTCCTCCTCCTCCTCCTCACCACACCATTATCACCACCATCATCATCCCCGCTGCAACTACTGATAACTTTTCTTACCTTTCTTTTCTTTTCATCAGCATTGTTTCTCTCAAACCAAACAATTATTCTGAACAGCAATGCCTGGAATCATAGAATTATCCTAAAAGTGTATGTGACGACATCCTAATCCTCTTTTACTCATGTATCTCGAGATTTCAAACTCGTTTTAGGTAACATGCAACATTCTATAGATTTACTACATTTGTAAATTGTTTACTAACTCCTCCACACACACACGCACGCACGCACGCACACACACACACACACACACGCAAACAAACAAAAAAACGTGTAAACACGAGACAAACACAGACCGTCTGCCTCTGTAAAGTAATATTCATAATGCCAAAACTGCACACACACAAATAAATAAGGAAAATAATTTCAGTCTTTGAAAGCAGCCTGAATAATGATATACCTATTTGTGCATCATGTTCCCATTAAAGAGCAAGCTTCAAATTCAAAAGAGAAGGCCAATAACTCTTTAAATCCGATTTGCGGACCAAGTCCCAGAATATCAGCTATAAACAATACAGGGGGGCGTTAAGGGTCAGGGTGGAAATGCGAGGACACATTAAGGAAGTAACATGCTGCGAAAAAATATGTTTCAGTGCCAGATTTCTTAGGCAGTGTTAAAGTCTCCAATCTGGAGTGGGACTACCCCTTGTCTGTGTCAGACAGTCGGCCTTACAGGGAGTTGGCAGTGGCGGTAGAGCAAGAGGTAAGTCGGGGGACCAGTATTCCTCTTCTCAACATTCTTGTTAAGTCACAGAAATTCAGTAACAAATAATTGTTTTATGAAGCAGTTGGCAATCAATATTAGTCATATCAAGGAGGTCGCTTTCGAACATAGCTTTGTCTGGTTTGTTTAAACCCGTGACCAACAAATGTCAACACGTTATCCAATCATTTGCATGTATATTACACTACGGTTATAACGAATTCAAAGGGATCACTAATTTCAGTTCGTTATACCGTAGTTCATTATAAGCATATTTGCAGCATATATACAGCACATGGTCAGGACAAAAAAATAAGTTCGTTATAAGCGTGTTCGTTATAAACGTAGTTTACTGTATACACACAAGGGAGAAGAAGATTTATCCTGGGAAATAAAAGATGTTCTTAAAATATATAATACTAGGATCTTTTGGTTTGAAGACTTTCGTCTGACCACTTTTGCTCTATCACAAAGGGGCACAGGTGTACAAGACGTCTAAGGAGCCGCAATTTGCTGTGCAGAGTTTCGTCCCTTGGGCATGCCAGAAATCTATTATTGTGAATTATAAACCTGGCCCCCCCATGAAATTAATATAGTTTTTTAGTTTGCCTCTGGCTACAGTTTGTAAACCAAATAATAACAAACGCCTTTGACGATAATATGATGTGGATTTCAGATTTACAACACCGACACACTGGACCAGTGTGAACACCTGCTCTAAAGATGGCTCTTCATTATTGTTACTAAGGGAACTTTATTTTTTGCCTGTAAATAAGCTGGAACACTGGGATTGGTGGGTTTTGATATGATGTGAAGGTTGATAATGAGGTTCAGTTTCTTTATTTTACTGGAACATCATTCAACAGTCTAAGAGTTTGATGCATGGGTCATTTGAATGTATAAATCTCGTTGGTGGTAAAATGATATTATCAGCATTTCTGAGCCGCCAGATCCTTAAAAATATTGTAAGGCAAGACTACGATATAAGGATCTGTGCCGATACGTCGCTACAATATTATATTAATATTCTATTATAGCGACGTTTCGGTAGAGATCCTTATATCGCATATATGCCATATATGCATATATGCCATACGTCTATACTTCTAAGAAATGGCTAATTATGATACAAAACATTTGAAATCTCAGCACGGAGACAAGGTGCTATTGTCCACCGGCACAACGCACCTAATATCAGGCTCCTTCCGTCCAATGGTTGTTTTTGTCTCCATAATGTCTTCATGGCTTTGTTTCAAATTTGGTGCCAAGGGGTCTTTAGAGGGTTTGCAGACCTCAGTTATTAATGTGACCTTGACCTCATTTTCAAGGTTATGGGAAGCGTTTGACCAATTTGTTGTTTGTGAGCAAGATGTATCCAGAACCTCAACATGGATTACGTCAACATTGGTGCTAAGTTGTCTTAAGGCACATGGCAGACCCCAATATATAGTGATGACCACGAAATTGTCAAATTTTCGAAGTGGTAAACGTCTGAGACTTGCATCACTTCGGGCTTTCCTCCCACAATAAGATGACACGCTGTGATATAACTGGACTACTGTTCAAAGCGGCGTTAAACACAACTCACTTACTCACCGTTTCAAAGTCACATATATCATTGGACTATTTGGGATTTTGTACATTATTTAGTAGCTGAATTTCGAAAACGTACAGCCCCATTTCCGCCCTTATGACTTACGATGCGCAATATAACATGATGGCAAAACCGAACAACATTTATTAGACAGAAGCATTATAACACGTCGGTCAATTAAAGACATTTTGTCATGATCTGAACAGAAACTGCAGAACACAAAAAATTATTGTGTTCAAGTGCGAACTTGTATAACACTGTACTTGGATTGGTATGGTAGTTATATGTGTGAAACGTATACTACTGTAGAAATGACAGACCTAATTTAACTATAAATCGGTACAAAAGAAGACCTTTTTAAGGTTTACTATGAATGCACTATTGCTCGAGGTTTTACCTACTGAATTTGAGATTTGAAATTTGAAAAACCAACACTTTGAACATTTATATAATGTTCAAGACTACCACCAGATTGTGGTGTCACGTGCACGGAGTAGTTCCATAATGGCTTCCTCCAAAACTGTCCGAGGTGACAAGCTGGATTGAGGCGTGCCGAGTGGCAGGCATCTAAGATACATTATATTGGGGTATAGTAGAATAGATGAAGCAGCATATGATTCAATTTAATCTGGAATTATTCTTCATTTGCCTCATAGGCACTTTAAATTATGTTAAATAGAACACATTCATTTTCAGAAAGAGGGGTTAGTCTAGGGCCTTTTTGCAGTCTTAACCAGCATGCATCGGGTCATCGAAACCACTTTACTCGTCTGCTCACTCAAGCTTCATTACCTAGTTCAGTCTGGCATAAAGCATCACCCTTATCACATCGAGACAATGACTCAGTTCTACAGAGCCGATCTAAAGCTACATTGGCAATGGTACCAGAGAGCCTAGCAACTCTTAAAAGCTAAAATACACAACTATGGGAAAGCTCTCTAATCACCTATTGATTACATTATTGCATTAGACATGATCATGTTGCTCTATCTGTATCAATGGCTGAGTAGTCAAAGGTTTACATTAACTCCACTGGTTTAACAGTGTGAAAATGCTACATTTCCGTATTTTGAAATATAGCATTTATAGCAATATTTTGTCTACACTGTTTAGACTTCTAAAGGTGTATTGTTCATGTTGGAGACACAGTAGCACTTACCAGACAGTGAGTGAGTGAGTACGGTTTTAGCAATATTCCAGTAATATCATGGCGGGGGACACCAGGAATGGGCTTCACGCTTTGTACCCATGTGGGGAATGGAACCCGGGTCTTCGGCGTGACGAACGAACGCTTTAACCACTAGGCTACCCCACCGCTCCTATTCATCAGACAGCACGCATCAGCTCAGCCTGGTACACAGCGAGTGTGTTAGGTACGGCCACTGTACTGTCCAGGCACTGGGAACAATGGCACGAAGAGGGGAGATCTAAAATGGAGATGGGAGGATGGAGGTCTACAGCCCAGAAGGGAGAGTTGAGGTCTACAGCCCAGAAGGGAGAGTGGAGGTCTACAGCCCAGAAGGGAGAGTGGAGGTCTACAGCCCAGGAGGGAGGGTGGAGGTCTACAGCCCAGAATGGAGAGTGGAGGTCTACAGCCCAGAAGGGAGAGTGGAGGTCTACAGCCCAGAAGGGGGGTGGGGTGGGGGTGGGGGGTGGGGTGGAGGTCTACAGCCCAGAAGGGAGAGTGGAGGTCTACAATCCAGAAGGGAGAGTGGAGGTCTACAGCCCAGAAGGGAGAGTGGAGGTCTACAGCCCTGAAGGGAGAGTGGAGGTCTACAGCCCAGAAGGAGAGTTGAGGTCTACAGCCCAGAAGGGAGAGTGGAGGTCTACAATCCAGAAGGGAGAGTGGAGGTCTACAGCCCAGAAGGAGAGTTGAGGTCTACAGCCCTGAAGGGAGAGTGGAGGTCTACAGCCCAGAAGGGAGAGTGGAGGTCTACAGCCCAGGAGGGAGGGTGGAGGTCTACAGCCCAGAAGGAGAGTTGAGGTCTACAGCTCAGAAGGGAGAGTGGAGGTCTACAGCCCAGGAGGGAGGGTGGAGGTCTACAGCCCAGGAGGGAGGGTGGAGGTCTACAGCTCAGAAGGAGAGTTGAGGTCTACAGCCCAGGAGGGAGGGTGGAGGTCTACAGCCCAGAAGGAGAGTTGAGGTCTACAGCCCAGGAGGGAGGGTGGAGGTCTACAGCCCAGAAGGGAGAGTTGAGGTCTACAGCCCAGAAGGGAGAGTGGAGGTCTACAGCCCAGGAGGGAGGGTGGAGGTCTACAGCCCAGAAGGGAGAGTGGAGGTCTACAGCCCAGAAGGGAGAGTGGAGGTCTACAGCCCAGAAGGGAGAGTGGAGGTCTACAGCTCAGAAGGAGAGTTGAGGTCTACAGCCCAGAAGGGAGAGTGGAGGTCTACAGCCCAGGAGGGAGGGTGGAGGTCTACAGCCCAGAAGGAGAGTTGAGGTCTACAGCTCAGAAGGGAGAGTGGAGGTCTACAGCCCAGGAGGGAGGGTGGAGGTCTACAGCCCAGAAGGGAGGGTGGAGGTCTACAGCCCAGGAGGGAGGGTGGAGGTCTACAGCTCAGAAGGAGAGTTGAGGTCTACAGCCCAGGAGGGAGGGTGGAGGTCTACAGCCCAGAAGGAGAGTTGAGGTCTACAGCCCAGGAGGGAGGGTGGAGGTCTACAGCCCAGAAGGAGAGTTGAGGTCTACAGCCCAGAAGGGAGAGTGGAGGTCTACAGCCCAGGAGGGAGGGTGGAGGTCTACAGCCCAGAAGGGAGAGTGGAGGTCTACAGCCCAGAAGGGAGAGTGGAGGTCTACAGCCCAGAAGGGAGAGTGGAGGTCTACAGCTCAGAAGGAGAGTTGAGGTCTACAGCCCAGAAGGGAGAGTGGAGGTCTACAGCTCAGAAGGAGAGTTGAGGTCTACAGCCCAGAAGGGAGAGTGGAGGTCTACAGCCCAGAAGGGAGAGTTGAGGTCTACAGCTCAGAAGGAGAGTTGAGGTCTACAGCCCAGAAGGGAGGGTGGAGGTCTATAGCCCATAAGGAGAGTTGAGGTCTACAGCCCAGGAGGGAGGGTGGAGGTCTACAGCCCAGAAGGGAGGGTGGAGGTCTACAGCCCAGGAGGGAGGGTGGAGGTCTACAGCCCAGAAGGGAGAGTGGAGGTCTACAGCCCAGGAGGGAGGGTGGAGGTCTACAGCCCAGAAGGGAGAGCGGAGGTCTACAGCCCAGGAGGGAGAGTGGAGGTCTACAGCCCAGGAGGGAGAGTGGAGGTCTACATTCCAGAAGGGAGGGTGGAGGTCTACAGCCCAGAAGGGAGAGTGGAGGTCTACAGCCCAGGAGGGAGAGTGGAGGTCTACAGCCCAGAAGGGAGAGTGGAGGTCTACAGCCCAGGAGGGAGAGTGGAGGTCTACAGCCCAGGAGGGAGAGTGGAGGTCTACATTCCAGAAGGGAGGGTGGAGGTCTACAGCCCAGAAGGGAGAGTTGAGGTCTACAGCCCAGGAGGGAGAGTGGAGTTCTACAGCCCAGAAGGGAGAGTGGAGGTCTACAGCCCAGGAGGGAGAGTTGAGGTCTACAGCCCAGAAGGGAGGGTGGAGGTCTACAGCCCAGCAGGGAGAGTGGAGGTCTACAGCCCAGGAGGGAGAGTGGAGGTCTACATTCCAGAAGGGAGGGTGGAGGTCTACAGCCCAGAAGGGAGAGTGGAGGTCTACAGCCCAGGAGGGAGAGTGGAGGTCTACAGCCCAGGAGGGCGGGGGGGGGGGGGGGGGGAGGTCTACAGCCCAGAAGGGAGGGCAGGGGTCTACAGCCCAGAAGGGAGAGTGGAGGTCTATAGCCCAGAAGGGATAGTAGAGGTCAACAACCGAGAGAAGGGAGGGTGGAGGTCTACAGCCCAGAAGGGAGGGTGGAGGTCTACAGCCCAGAAGGGCGGGGGGGGGGGGGGGGAGGTCTACAGCCCAGAAGGGAGGGCAGGGGTCTACAGCCCAGAAGGGAGGGCAGGGGTCTAGAGCACAGAAGGGAGAGTGGAGGTCTACAGCCCAGAAGGGATAGTAGAGGTCTACAGCCCAGAAAGGGGGGGGGGAGAGGTCTACAGCCCAGAAAGGAGGGCAGGGGAACTACAGCCCAGAAGGGAGGGCAGGGGTCTACAGCCCAGAAGGGAGAGTTGAGGTCTACAGCCCAGAGAGGAGGGCAGGGGAACTACAGCACAGAAGGGAGAGTGGAGGTCTACAGCCCAGAGAGGAGGGCAGGGGAACTACAGCCCAGAAGGGAGGGCAGGGGTCTACAGCCCAGAAGGGAGAGTTGAGGTCTACAGCCCAGAAAGGGGGGGGGGGGGAGAGGTCTACAGCCCAGAAAGGAGGGCAGGGGAACTACAGCCCAGAAGGGAGGGCAGGGGTCTACAGCACGGAAGGGAGGGCAGGGGTCTACAGCCCAGAAGGGAGAGTGGCGGTCTAAAACCCAGAAAGGGGGGCGGTGGGGGATTGGGCAGGGGTCGACAGCCCACAGTGGGGTTGAGGGTTTACAACCCAGAGGACACACATCTCATTCGAGGCAACTGGGTATACACGTGTACTCCCAGTTAAACAACGGTCGATTTTATGACATTTTATCGTAAGCTTAACAGAATGTATGTAAAACGCTCACGCGTTTGTTATTGGGCTCAGTGCCCATTGCAAGTGCGGATATATATATGACAACGTGCATTACATATGTAACTCCACACTCTCTACGCGCTGAGTAGATATGTTAATACAATCATGACTTTGACAGTGTTCGCATGCTTCATCATGTGTTTGTGTCGTGTTCAACAATATTCCAGCTGTTTGACAGTAACCTGCAAAAAAACATGTCTATGGTCAAATTTGTCTGTAGGATCTCATATGTTTTGTCACGTGGTATGGACGCATCTAGCACATACATGATAATTAACTGGTCTATTGTTTACAGAAATAATTACAAATGAATGTAAACAATACTGTGGATACTTGAATACCAAGTGATATAACATCATCGACAATATACCACGATAGGTAACGTTGACTATTCCTCCTATGTATCATACTATTGCATACTACCTGCCATTATGCTATACTATGTAATGATAACCGCTATGCAGAGATGCGTCCCTTCAACGCGCCAGAATCTATGTTTGTGGGTTCGAATCCCGATTCGCCCCGATTATGTTTCTAGGTTTGTCAGCACCATGCCGTGCTCGTGGGTTTCACCGAAGATGTAAACGCCTAAGACCCGCATCACGTCGGGCCTTCCGCTCACAATCAACCGTGATATAACTGGAATACTGCTTAAAACGGCGTTAAACCCAACTCACTCATGCACTCAGTAAACCAGCCATTGGATGGGCAATCAGCACTGATCTACACACACTTAACGTTGCAGCTGGATCGGGTGTTCCTGCTGAGTCCGCTGAAAGACATCTACAACTTCAGCCTCGTGAGAACCTTCAGGTAATGGCCATCAACCATGGAATATCAGTTTATGCCTTCTAAATGGAACATTAGAAACATAAAGTACACTATCTGATCATCCCTGTACTTCGTGGCCGTCAGAGCAGAGTCATTCTCAATATTTTCATCAAAAGTTACTAAAGCTTCGTGCAATCGCTGTGTTCGACTGAAACTTCTGTTTAAATTTGCGCTAATATAAACACAACCTCTCATTCGATGCAACCCTGTACATTTATATAAAAAAAGGGAACCATTTTTCTAACTGAAATTTGTTTTCCTGTTCTTTGTAACTTACTATTCCAGCACATTATTGAACTAGATGCATGTTCTGCTCGGTTCACGTGTATGCAATTTTTACAAAATATATAAAATGTCAAAGCCAGAGAATAACCTACGAAACAGATTCCAATGGGCGTTAAAGGTAAAAGAGGGTGAAATTTTATGTAAATGGATCACTGAAAATCAGTGATGACACCTGGGTAAGCATGTTCTGGAAAACACACATCATATATCCTTCGTATGTGTTTTTAATACATCCATCACAGAAGAGTATGTTTCTCTTGCCGTGTAGCTAGTGCACACAGTGCACTGTTTGTCGACTACCTCTCTATCCCTCTGTCTGTCTGGGGGCGGTCGGGGAGCCTAGTGGTTAAACCGTTAGCTCGTCACGCCGAACACCCGGGTTCGATTCCCGACATGGGTACAATGTGTGAAGCCCATTTCTGGTGTCCCCCGCCGTGATATTGATGGAATATTGCTAAAAGCGGCGTAAAGCCATACTCACTCACTCACTCACTCTGTCTGTCTGCCGTGAACATTTTCGACATCTCTTCTAAAACAGTAAGGCTTATCAAGCTGAAACACTGCATTCATGATCTCAATAATGGTGTCCAAAAAGCATGCTCATAGATGTCTGATATGTCTTTCAATATGGCCGTCGCGGCAGCCATATTAAAAATTCCATGTCTGCCATATCTGCATATATCATTATAAAATGATTTATGAGTCAGAGGTATACCTAATGAATGATACCATATATTTTTTAACCTTGACCAACTCCATGTCCCCTGATCTCTGTAATAATGCCTCTGAAAGGTGAAAACAAATTTTAGATATGAATTTGAACTTGGCGGTCACAGTACCAATCTAATTTGGACTCACTACACACTAAAATAGTAATGCACATGTCAATCTGAAATTTGATATGCATTGGGTATGGTGTAAGTTCAATAGCACGCTTTGCGTTTTGTTATTTTGTAAACGTTTACCTTTGATCTATCTGTATATGCCATAGTACCTGGATACATGCCATACATTTGACAATATGTATTTACGTCCACTGTACACTCTATCCAAAGGCGTGGCAGCATTGTGGCGGTGTTCGAGACAGTTCTCACTGACCATAGAGGCTTGACCACAGACTCATTGAAAGAAGCTCTTGTCCAGGGGTTGGAGACCCGCAACTACATCCGGGGATCTGGTGACGTCAAGGAAACCAAGCACGGGGTTGCCCTGGACGCCGAGAGCATACAGATTGTAACACTCAGCACAACATGTATGAACCTTTAACACTCGTACTTTCTTTACAGCGAGGTCGATGTTCATTATGTATTTCTTTATTTCACATCGGGTCAAGCCATATTTGGAAGAAAGTCTGATAAGAAACATGGTCCAGTCGTCTAGTGAGTCGGAATTCTCTGTACGGAATTAAGCCCCTTACCGTATGTCAGGATCCGCTAGTCTTGGGCTAGCACCCAGATTCGCCCTGATTATGTCCTTTGGTCTGTCAGTCACATATCCGTTATTGTGGGTTTATAAAAACCCTGGTAATTTCTGCGACCTGCGACACGGGTTTCCTGCATATATGATTAACACTATTAGACTCACTCTCTCATTCACAATTCTTCGGAGTTGTGGTCAGAAAAGCATGATAGCTTTTCACATAAAGATAAAATGCGAAGGTAAACAAAAATATACTTTTCAAAAATTCGTGAGTTGGGTTGAGCATCGTTTTGAACAGTATTTTAGTTCTATCATGACGTGTAATGTTGATGTAGATGACTGGGTGGAGAGTTGAAACTGATGCAGGTCTCAGACGTTTACCACATTGGTGAAACCCACGAGCACGGGTATGGTGATGAGAACGCAGGAAACATAATCGAGGCGAACCGGGATTCGAACTAAATGTCATGTTCGTAGTAAGCCCAGGTGACGCAACTCTACACATATCCGCCAGTGGCCCCTCCAAATTCGTAGCAACCACGATACACCATCAGTCTAACAAACAATTGGCAAAGAAAAGGTCTTATAACAGGATATTCCTGTTTTTGTTTATCACTTCTCGATATCCACTTTCAAGAATTGAATGCAATGCAGATTATTACCTTGAATTCACATTTCGAAAGAACACATGTTGTTTTGAATCCGGCTTGATGTCAGTATTTTGTTTCTTGTAGCCCTACGTGACCAAAGCACCTCCCGCCTCCTCCCTGTTCTAATTGAAAGTGAACCGACTAAAAATATGGAGACAACGACAACCGTATCACAAGAAAAAACTCCAGAATCAAGTCCAAAAGAAGACCCAACCACAAGGACAACAAAATCCTCAACCCAATCGTCCACTGATGGTGAAAACAACGCAGACTCCCACACCCATATATGGATATGGAGACCTCCGAAAACATCCCAACAAACAACTAAAGGTTCCCCTTCAGAACCATCAGGGCCTTCCACTGAATCTACCTCAAACTCTCCTCATGAAGTTGATTCATCAACCCCTGCACAAACAACGCATGAAAGCACAGACTGGCATACAGCATTCTGGAAGGACCAGTTTTCAGATAAGCAATTTCCATTTTCTGATTTTTGGTATTCATCGTCAACTCATATCCCAGAGAAACGTCGAACATTGTCTAACACCCCTAAAAGACCTAATCCAGATGAATCCAAGGATGGCCAATTGTCTGAAAATCCCAAAATTTTGTTAAGGACTACCCCTGTTTCAGCTGTGTCTGAGAATTCGACCAGGTATCCTTCTGATAAAACATCTTTCCAAGGTTCAACTTTTGCGACGAAGACTGCTGAAAATTCTACACCCCAGAACACCCAAACACTGCCTAATGTGAACTCAACACAAGTAACCAGTGAAGCCAATTTTGTTTCTAACGGTTCCACAAAATCAACTACAAATACCAAGTTACCAAACACTACAACAAAGGCATCCATTTCTGAGTCCTCAAATTCTGATTCAGATCAATCTTTCAAACCACCCAGCAATGAAAATGATAATTCTATCCCAAAAGTACTAAGTGAGTTGAAGAAAGATGACACGAAAAACACAGACACTTCCAACATGACCAATGTTATTGAAAACATTCCCCATGAAGATTTCGAACATCATGACGTCGCGTCCTCTCCTGTTGACGAGACGCCTCAAAACATAGAAACAAATGTCCCAATTTTAAATGAGGACGTGGTACCAGTTAACACACCTTCACATATCAGAGAAGTTTCAGAAAATATTTCCCATGCCAATGAGCATAGTTTATTTGATAGAGAGTCCCAGCAGACATATACCCCTGTTACGAAGGTAAAGGATAACCGTGACGAAGACCCTGCAATCCGAGGTCATATAGGGCAAGTCCCACAGGAGAGTATTGCAAGACAAGAACATGGAGTATTTCCCAACCCAACACACCCATCGTTTGAAGACTACGTCTTGCCCGAAACTTCTATGGAAAATTACGATTACGTACCAAGGTATCCAGATGTCAATCTTATTGCCCAGAATGATGCCAATGATGAAGGATCATTTAGGACCACATCGCCGAGTGGTGCTGAGAGGAGTGGTCACGATGATGCTGTGCATGATGATGGAGGTAGCAGAGATGAAGCTACTCAGGGGGGAGGCAGTTCGGGTGGAATAGATGCAGCCGTTGTGGTCAGTAGTACTGACTCGGCATTGACTGGGGATCCTGGTAACGGAGACAGTTTTTCAAAACATACAGATACAGGTTCGGATACTGGTTCAGATTCACTTGATGGTAGTCCTACGGTTGCTTCTGCAACACAGGTGACATTACGGACAAGCTCAGACCTTGAAAATGCTCTTGATGAAAACTTACTCAATGAAGGAAATACGAGCTCTTTAGCAGAACCTGTCAATAAAAATGTTTCTTCTTTTGTGTCCGATAACACAACGTTACCTAGCATTAACAACTATACCCACCCAGCAAATCGTCCGGCTATGGACAAGTATAAAGCTATGGTAAATGACACGGAAGTTTCTCGTAAAGATAGCAATGGACATATCAGCTCACAAGTAAAGGACCCATCTCATGGAACCAAGACCTTCGAAAGCAATAATGACCTAAAAGATATGATGCCTGCTGTATCTAAGGAGGCAGAGACAGTTATGGCTTCAGATATGGTATATTCTGGTGATTCTAGTGTTCACCCAAGTCAGCCTGCTTCTGGCATGTCTCCATCTGAGCAACAAAAAGATGCTGTTGATGTTGTTGCATCAAGTAGTGAAAGGCTTCCTGTCCACACTGATCTTGATGATTTATTGCCCATTCTTCAAAGCATTGCCCATGACAGTACGTTTGATTATGAAGCTTTGGATGTCAATCCCACCCCTTCTGTACAACATCCATCAACACAACATGAATATGTTGCATCGTTCAGTCCCTTTGTAAGTTCATCTGCAACTGTTTATACTTCAGACAGCATGGTACACCATGGTGATAATATGTTTGATATTACTCCAACATCAGTGACATTAACAGAAACGGTTAATGGAATTCAGATGTTATCGTCATTACTGCAACCTGAAATATCAGAAAATAAGCACCAAGTGTCCAGGCATTCAGACATTGAAGCACCTGCAAATATGCAACCAAAAGCTGTGAATACACCGGCTTCTCAACTTGGAGATGTTTCAGTATTGATAATAAGTTCATCAACTTCTTTTGACACAGGTGCATCACTGATGCAATTCAGAGGATCTGTTGAAGGTACTCCTGTGCTGATGGCAAATTCAGATCATATGGACACGGAAGCTATGTTGGAAAGTAGTTTAACAAATATGTTGCATTCAGCAGTGACAAACATCCATGCATCAGCAGAAAATGTAGGAGGTATTCTACATTCAGAAGTTCCAAGTGTTGAGAACACTAGTACGACGGATGCATATGAGACTGTGAATGATCCAGTTGCAGAACCTTCTGAGACAAATGTAAATTCACCAGCAGCTGTAACTGATGAACAGTCAGGTAGTATTTCCTCAGATGCACGTTCAGAAGGAAGCTGGGCTGGGCAGGAAAACGATGGACATTCATCAGGTTTAGAGACGGGTTCTAGTGTCACTGGTCTGGTATCCGTGTCTCCTGATTCATTGAATATGAATGCAAGTGACATTGTACATGTAAATTCTCCTGTAGATTCCCGCAATGTGCCCGAGACGAATATAATACCATCACAATCACATGAAGGTGGAACTATTGAAACCAACTCAAAGACCAAGCCGCCTTTGAGTGCGAAGCCGGATACACTTGAAAGAAAAATGCATCATCCGATAGTGTCCAGTGCCTCGCTGATAGATAATAATTCATCCAGTATAGGTTCAACATATGCACAAGATGATGTTGCAGTGTCTTCTTCTACCAATAGTCCTGGTATAATTGAACATGTTGAGCAACATTTGGATTCTCAAAATGCTTCCATTTCTCGTCCTGAGGCTGTAGCAGCTGTACTCCAGGAATCTGGTGTTTTGAAAGAATCGGATTTCAATAATTCCACAAGCGCAAATGACAAGGCATCGTCTCGCGCCCAGCCGTCAACTGCAAAACCAACTATACACTCTACCCAAAATGATATGAACCAATCTCTTGTCACAAATTCAACGATTTCAGAATCTGATTCTAATGTAGATACTGTGATGTCAACATCTAGAACACAACCCAAGGATGGGACACATATATCCAGTCACAATAGACCAGATGTTTCCAGGGGGCGGATAGTGACAACATTTCATCAAGAAGATATGGTCACCAAAACTCCAAGAGGAAGGATAACCCAGGGCACAGCAATGAAGGACGTGAGTGAAGGAGCTGTAGATTCCACCCCTCTATCCAGCACAGATGCTACTACTCGTCTGATAACGGCAGGGATATCAACACAGGACACCGAGGAACCCTCCCCTCCAGCCATCACTGACATCCCCCTTAGCACAACATCAACAGATCTGCCTACAACAGACGTGGGTGTTTCCTTGAACAAAGAGGAAGAGTTTGGGGACCCTTATTCAACTCAATCAGGTATGTATGATCTATAACCGATTTATATTATTCTTAGGGTAACCCTTTCTTCTGTTCTATTCTTTTTGGGTTTTGTGAGTAAGATAGTTTCCTAAGTTTGTGTGACCCGTGAAGATCCAGTGTAGAATAGATCTTCGGCAATCCATGCTAGCCGTAAAAGGCGACTGTGCTTGTCGTAAGAGGTGAAAACGGGATCAGGTAGTCAGGCTCGCTGACTTGGTTGATGCATGTCATCGATCTCAATTGCAGGGATCGATGCTCATGAGGGCAATCACTGAATTTTCTGGTCAAGACTCGATTATTTTACAGACCGCCGTCATATGGCACGAATATTTCTGAGTGCGGCGTAAACAACAAACAAACAAACAATCCCATGTTTGTGAAAAAGGTAAAATGGAGACTAAGGTGGTTGATTTCGAATGTAAATTTGAACATGGTGAATTCAGGCTAGAGAAGATCAAGGTCCAATGTTTGGTCATAGAACTGACTTCAATAGGAATATCCTGTAATACCCAGGATCCTTGTGTCTAACAATATAGTACTATTTAAAGGAGTAGATCTCCGACCAATTCAGTTGCTATGTTTTCAATTGCCGTGTTTCTGTGTCGACCTCTTTAGTGAAAGTTAAGGTGTGATTTCATGTGTATCAATTGGTGAGTGAGAATGGTTTTACGTCACCTTAACATAATATCTACCAAATCACAGCTAGAGACATCAGAAGGCATCCAAAATGTGGGAAATTTATAATAGGTCTTCAATGTAACCATACAATACTAAGACAACTACACAGCACCAAATTTCTATAAGCACGAGGAGATTCCAGTACGAAGCACTTTCCCTTTTAATTGCATTCTATTAAATTTCGACTTTAATATAAAAAAACAATCACCCTTGTAGGAAAGTACTTAATTCCCTGTTTTGATGAAAGTTTGTTTGTTCTAAGGTAAAAATGTTATTCTTTCTCCCCAGAAAATGGAATCGGCTCCCCTCAGAACAATGCATGTCTGGATATAACGGTCATGACAGAGTTCATCCCCAGCTGCCTTGACTTCTTCAGTCAGATAACTCACACCGATGATGAGTTAGAGAAATGCCAGTAAGTACCATGTTGCCAGACCAAAGGGTGAGGTATGATAAGGGCACTTTTTGCCCGAGTGGAAATGTCATATTTTAGCGTTTAGATATTTGAAAGTATTGTTTGAAAATCACATGTTCAAATGGTTGATATCTTGCTTTCTTTCTTTCTTACACTTGCATGTTTCGATAAACCCAAGAAAATAAAAGGGCTAAAATAGGTAAAAGAAGTGACTTTTCAAATTTCCAAAATGTCGCTATTAGCAAATGTTGGAACCAATATGATTGTTTAATAGGGCTTAGACGAGTCCAGATTTACTACCCGGGTACCCACACCCCTATTACCCGACCCTTCCCGGGTACCCGCTGTTGGTGTCAAGAGATAGGTACAAACTGTCCGATTGGGAATAGTTTTACAGTAGCCCTTGCAGAATGTTTTTAGATACACGTATAAAACGATGTGGTCATGCATACATTGAAGTTGACTGAAGTTTTAGCTTTGTTCAAACATATAAAAGTCAGAAGGAACGTGTTCATAGTCATGAAGAAAAGCGAACATTGGAGACTTAAAATGGTCGTGTAACCATGTAGTTATATAGTGAATGTTTGGCATGAAACAATATATCATGGGACTAACCACGGGTCCGGATAGTCCTGTGGGTATCCGGGTCCTACTTAGTACCCACCCGACCCGGGTACCCGAGTTACCCGTCCCAGACCTGTAAGGCCTTATCATACCTGACCTTCCAATTCAACACATTTAATAGCTGATGGAATATGTCCACTGCACAAAGGTGTTATCAGAAGCTGAGATATATGAGGGATGGACTGCGTGGATGGAGGGTACTAATTATTGTTCAACATTATCTCCACCCCCACCACCCCACCCCCAAGTCCACACATTCCTGCCAACGATGCTGGAGTGCCCGGATCGCATTGATGTAGAACGCCTCCTTCTGATCCTTTAAAAGGTCATCTACAGAAGAAATGACTTCATCATCACTTGCAGACGTGCTCATAACTTTTCAGCCACCACCAGTACTGCTGTACAGGTCTTCTGTAGTCAAACCATCCTCGAATACGGACTTGCAAACATTATCGGCTTGTTGTGGTAATGCTAATACACTTTGGTATGGTTGAACCAATTGCATGACATGCAAGAATTTTTTTCCGGCTTTTGTAAAAGCGATGGGGAAATTGGTTGATATATGATGCATTATTGCTGGACAACAAAGATAATCTGAAACTGAATTCTAACTTCTCTTTGAAACCTATTCCAAAATATATAAAAAAAAGTTTTGTTTAAAAAAACCAAAGCGTTTCTCTCTAACTTGATTGCACGAAAGTCGTGTTTGCTAAGTGGAAGCGTCGGGTGACTTTCCTTGGTAAATTGATGCCGAATTAGTGCCGTTGGAGGATGTCCTTTGACTGTTTTTAACACTACCGGTAATTGAAAAAATAGATATTTGCCAAAACAAACTGGATTCGTAGATCTCCACAGTCTCTTGTGTAGGCATACTTTACCTTAGTTTAAACATATTTGGCTGTCTTAGACCAAAGGAATGAAAAAAATCAGTTTCTATTGAAAACTGACTTGAAAAAGTAGCATGTTCTTTGAGGAATTAATCAGAACTTAGATTACTAAAGTGATGTGGTGAGGACTTTGTAAAACAAGTGGGACTTAGAAAAGGACTAATTCAAAAGAATCATTTGCTTGAAAATTAGACATGGTAAATTATGTATAGAAAATGCAATTATATAAGGCAATATTGATTTGACCATCTTATGAATCCTGTCATTTTTTTAAAGCATCTTTTATATTTTCATCAAATTTTAATCTTTCTTGCTCTTTTAAATTTTCTTTGTCTATATTGGCCTTTCACTTAAGTATGTAGTGGCATTTGATGTTTTAATCTTAATTTAAGCAAATCAGATTTGTTGAAATGTTAGAAAAATTTGAAGCATTGGTTTCTCACTTTTGAAGACAGGCCAGACATCAAACCCATGTCAAGTAACTATTTAAACAGCTTTTACCCGACTCATTGACAAATGGTTCATTAAAGTACAAACTCGTATCTCAGATAAGCAGATTAAATGAATTGATGTGGCGTCTTTTCTAAATAGCAGAACTTTAATCACAGATGGAGTGACGCGGTTTAGTTTTCATATGGGCAAAACACTTTCATTCTTAGCTGTGCTGTGAATTAATTTCTGTTACAATTTTTTTCCAGGCATTTTTTGGCCGGTGTAATTTGTGTGACGGATGAATTCTACAAGTACAGCGGACAGCAGTGCACGGATACAGAAATCAGTGCCTTCGTCAAACAGCACGCTGACCTTTTCAAAAATGCTCTTTCCAACTTTGACCCTCTCAAATGTGTGGTTTGAGATGCACACAACATCACGGGATAGGTTTTGTGACAACATATTGAACTCTTGACCATCTTGAATGGGACTGATTGCGAGCTTACTTGTATAATATTGTTGTCCTAAATCTGTGTAGACTTCAGTCTGATCAACTGAAATCCCGTTGGTATATGATGAGCTGTGTGCCAAGTGCTTACCACCATGTGCAAGAAACTCAACACAAACTTCGCTACAATGAGTTTCATTGCCTCTTGTACAGAATCGCTGTGGGTGATGACGTGACCTGTGTTTAAGGGAGCCTATAGTCTAGTCTGTAGAACAATTATGTATGCTTACAAAATGCTTTTGTTTATTTACATGTTTACCAAACATTTGTTCTTCAATCCAGACCTCACGCAGAGTTGTGTTTCTTTGTTGAACACTTGTGTCGCATTAGATACAATGATGTCACGCATCTCGTGATGATGATGTTTATGAATGTTTTATTGAAGTATTGTTAGAATTGCGGTCCAACGCTGCGCGGAGTTGTGAAGTGCAGCAATGTGTCCATAAGCCATTTTCAAGACAACTGATTCTGAATACTTCGAACGTATGTCGACAATGGTAATATGATATTTGGAGTTGAATTGTTTCATATTTCTGTTTATATTCGGTGGTACATGTGAATATTGCACATAAATAATGCGACCTGATAATATTGTGAATATGTCATAAATATGATTGGTTTTATTTCTCGTCTTAGAATTCGTTTTTCGTTTTTACTGCGCATTCCATAGATGTAAGTTGCTCAAATTTTAGATAGAGTTGTTCATTTCTTATGTTGTTGTTTGTTAGAAGCAATGACTGCATGGCACTTGTCAATTTATGTAATGATGGTAAAACCCTTGTAGTCGTAATTGTGTTCCTTGTAGTCTCATGCTCTGAGGAATGGTGAGGTGAAATTGGGTTTAACGTCGCGTCCAAGATTATTGCGCTTATATAGCGACGTGCATGCACGTGTGTGTGTGTGTGTGTGGCTGCTTGTACTAGTCCGAACTGATGCCGATTTATAGTGCTAGCTCACTGAGATACCATGCCGCAGTTTACCATGAATACCCCACTCAGACACAGTATGCTGATTCCGAGCCGACCAGTCCTTGTTTTAGCCCCTTAATGCCAGAGCGCCAGACAGGGTAACAACAAGTACCATATTTTAACGTCTTTTGGTATGACGCAGCCGGGAATCTCTCCGGGCGGACGCTCTACCACAAGACCACGGAGGCGGTCCTCTTAGGATGGTATTGCTACTATGTATGTATATATTACAGTGCTGTATGCGTTTAATGGAACATAGCAACCTTATGTAACATTTAGCATCATATGTATGGGTTTGGAGGAGCATTCTAAGGTGTTTGACATGTAAGACGCTAGCGTTTGCCTTGTCAAAATACTGGCAGTTATCATGAGAGCGGCGTGAGTATGTTATGGAAGATGATCCACATATAAACAAAACCGACAAAACATTTTGAATAAGAAATGTTTGTTTCTTTCACTGCGGAAATAGTTTTTCGGTCTATACACCTTCATGTCTTAACTTTATGTATGTCGCACATAATTACAAACTCAAAACATTTCATGAAATAGACGTAGCGAATTGTTTTATGACTTGTTGTATGTATGTATTTCTTAAGAATTAGGGCTCATAGGACATAATCTAAGAAAACCGTAATGTTGGAGCTTGACCGCAACTCAGTGGTCATTTCAGATGGTCATCTGTGACCATGGGGCACAGTGCGTGCCATGGCTGCCATGACATATTTCCAAGTTAAATTGGACCGGAACGGCTGCCATTTTGAACTGGACCGGAATGGCGGCCATCTTGAATATACCGGAAGGGCTGCCATCTTGAATTGAATGGAAGGACTGCTTTCTTGAACTGGACCGGAATGGCTGCCATCTTGAACTAGACCGGAATGGCTGCCATCTTGAATTGAATGGAAGGACTGCCATCTTGAACTAGACCGGAATGGCTGCCATCTTGAATTGGAGTGGAAGGGCTCTCATCTCAAATGGACCAGAAGTGTTGTCATATTTTGTCGGACACTATATTTGATTGTCATCTTTTGTGTCACACTGTGCTTAGTATTTATCTTTCAGCACCGACATACATTTGTTTGAAACGTTCATTCTCTGACAAGCTTTTGTATAAACGTTTATTGTGATGCCCTTAAATGTCATTCAGAATAAACGAAATATATCAGATTTTGATACTTATTGTTTAGAGATTCTCCTAGAAGGAATTCTTTTCAGAGATATATATCAAATAGTCACAATCTTGCAGGACCTTTGTCCCAATATCTCTTTGGATGCTTTCTTGATATTTATGGCTTGTTTGTTTTTTTGTTTGTTGTTTAACGCCACATTCGGCTATATTCTAGTCACATGGCGGCGGTCTGCAAATAATCAACCAGACAATCCAATAATTGACTTCATGAGCATTGATCTACGCAACTGAGATTTGATGACACGCATCAACCACGTCAGCGAACCTGACCAGCCGATCCCGTTTGTCGCCCTTACAAGAATGGGTTGCTGAAGACAAAATCTCGCCCGGATCGTCAGGGGGAACACATATGGGAAAAGACACAGAATAGTTCATACAGTTTGTACAGTTTTTACATATAGGTGTCACAACAACTTATACACGCCTAAGAACCCCACGATTGGAGCCATCAACAGCGTAATGATTATCACGCCTTGCATTCAGCTAACACGATAACGCATGGGGTTGTGTAAAGTTGCGTCACTTTTCTTTCAAAACAGTTTGTGCATGCGAAATGTGGATTCCCTCTATTAGAATATCAACTATCCACTTGATTATCACAGCCTAGTTCAAACATTATTTTATTAGACGTTATTCATTCGACGTTTGGACATGAATATTCAGTGTTGTACATCTTAACAACGTTAGAATGCTTGCAATTGTATAGAAGATAGTATTATCACTTTTTGATTGGCATTCTAGAAGTTGGTGAGTAAGTAAGTAAAGAGTACACGTTGTTAGTTGTTGTTATCAACATGTACATTTAGGGGCGGTCGGGTAGCCTAGTGGTTAAAACGTTCGCTGGTCACGCCGAAGACCCGGGTTCGATTCCCGACATGGGTAGAATGTGTGAAGCCCATTTCTGGTGTCCCCCGCCGTGATTTTGCTGGAATATTGCTAAAAGCGGCGTAAAACCATATATAACCGAAACCAACTTTCGACAGTTTTGAACTTTGCTTGGCGGATATATATGATGATAATGAAATGAATGTATCCAAGTGACATTTCTGTATAAATTCCATCAAAACAATCAATCGAAATTATAATTAGGCATCATGAAACAAGAATTGGTTCCAAATTAGCATTGACTTGATTGTTTGTGGAAGGGGAGTAACCCAGCTCTCAGTGCAGTAATATCAGTTAAACCTTGAAACTGTTTTATAGAATCGTGTCAAACATGGCAGCTGTCACAAAGAACCCAGTCAATAAACATATCAACCTGTCACTGATGCGTGCAAATATCTGCGCTACGTCTTACGTAAGACAGGGGAATGCGCAGTAACGTTAAACTGGTCAATTAAGGCAATCCTAGCGGTCACGACACTCACACATCACAGTATTTACGGTAACGTCGACGTCAATACATACTCATCTCCCCTTGAATATGTGAATGAGCAGCGTTGGTATGGGGCTCCGTACACAAGACAGTATAATCCCAAGTAATTTACACCTACGTCATAAATGTGTCTCTATGCTCTCACACACACAAGGATAAAAGGTGGGGGGTAATTAAGAGACCGGAGTTGATGTGTTTACCGACTTCGCAGTTTCATTGGAGTCAGCTACTTCTGGTAGAGATCCTGATATGAACACTGGTGAATACGAAACCTGTTTGGGGCAGATACACCGTGGTCGATACAAATGGATTGCTGCAATTGTGCATGGTCACTTTGTGCTACATAAACGTAACGTGTCGCTCAGTACTGACGCCGTACAGACGTTATTGTTGACGTTACGTCAGTAGCTATTTTGGCGTAACTTATTACCGTTGATTTTGAAATACCAAATTCTCGTTTCGGAACTTCAACTGGAAGAAATAATCAACTGTACGTTTTTCCATGCTTCATTTGAGTGAGTGGGTGAGTGAGTGAGTGAGTGAAAATTGAAAGTCACATCGCCATATTTCAGCCAGAACGTGTCCCTTTATTTGAGAAGCATACTAGAACCATTGTATTTTGGTCAGTGAAAAAACCCAACATGCCGATTATATAAATATACCTTACATAAACACGCATAGTAACCATTATCGGGCTAGCATATTCAACACAAACTGCACCATATCTCAATATTGCTATAAATTAAGAAATAAATTACGACTTTGATCCTGTTTTCGTTACTGAAATGAGATGGTCGGAAATTTAAATGTTCTGAAAAAGTCCAGATTTCAGAGGTTCCTAATTCTAAATCGATTTTCTCACATGAACAAGAAAATCCAAAGCAGGAAAAACATTTGAACTAATCTCCATTTTTCTGCTGAAACCCAGGAATGCCAGATCTATTCGCAAGAGGTAATCAAACGTTTTGGCCTCATCAATCACAATAAGTTTTTCAGCATCCGCACCAGAAAGCATTCAGAAACTCCAACTCAAATACCCCTGCACAATGCTGCTCTCATGTTAATTTCATTCGATATGTGTTCAACACATATCCAAACAAAGTTATTGACAGAAACATACTCAGACGGGTCGAAACTCCAAAGTAACGTGCAAGATTAATGGCCATAATGTATGCACTGTCAGAAGAGTCATTAAGAGTGTATGTGCAACGGCTAACAAGGGCCCGAAGCTCCCCGCTGTTCGACACAAGCTATTGTCCATATGGCAAAACTGTTTCAAAGGCGAGTCGCCAAATTGACTTCCTAATTAGGCCAATAAAAGTTGTTTAAGAGGATTTGAGTTGTTTGCGTGAAAGTCCAGATCTTTTATGATAATGATGTTTCGACGTACATGTATATACATTTCGCGTTTGTTATTTTTACGGTTCGGGTTTTGAAACAATGGGTTTGAGGGCTTAACGAAAACAGGGACAAAACTGCCGGCCAAACGGAAGTATACACTTGAACACTGGATTTCACCCAAACATTACAAGCGTTATCAAAACGTTACTTGGCTGAAAACAGTTGCCGAAACACAACTATGATACCCGTATGAAGTACATCACCATAGAATAACCATTTCTTGTTTGGTTCAGTTTTCGCCACCATCATGGGGTATACCTTTTTTCGCCCTGCAGAACGCGCGCGCACACACACACACACACACTCACTCACTCACACACACACACACACACACACACACACACACACACACACACACACACACACACACACACACACACACACACACAACAACAACAACAACAACAAAAACAAAAAAAACAGAGCACCCCCTCCCCAAGAATCAACTCCAACCCCACCATGTCCCCAAAGTAAACCAAAAATTTACTTAAACAGATGCACAACAAATTCATCTTTATTTCTGATAACTTCAACTTAACAAGCGAATTCTTGTTCATCTCTGATGGGGGAGGGGTGGTGGGTGGTGGTCATTTTCCGGTTATATATTTAGTTTATGAACAGCACACAAGTAAGTATTTCTTTAGCCTAACGAACTATTTTCCAAAGAAGCCTACTTTAGAAGAGGAATTTATAGTCCTAAAGCTGCCGAGGTTTTAATGCTACCGCTCAATGTTGTTTTCGCTTTCAAGCTGCAAATCTAAACATATTTATTAACCATGCATTCGGGCAGCATAAGCATGGGAAGTCGTTAGGAACACTTAACGAGTTTTCCTTTCTCAAAAATCAGTCTTGAGGTAAGTAGTTTCCAAGACTCCTTTCAACCCCCTTTCCGAAATCACTCGTTGGTGTAATATTATTACAGGCACGGTGACAGATTTAAGCCAGAGAAATTTAATGTATGAGGGAGAATATTTTCTAACCCTGGTTTTATGAATACCAAC